AAACATTTAACTTTCACACCGATCATAGATGGGGACACTTTTAAGAAAAATATATAATGTTTCTAACAACTAGGTCTTAAATTTTTGATACTCAAATATGTATTTTTTGAAACATACATCAGTATTTTTATCTTTTTCTGTGATTGTAAACTATTACTTTATTTGGTCTAACTTTGAATAAATTAATTGGAATCTCTAGATTGTATAAAGTTACATTTCATTTTAATTATCAATTGTTTTCACAGGACCATTTCTTTGGGATTTTATTTCACTGGGTATTTTGAAACTACTGAATAAATGAGTTTCAATTGGATCTGTTTTTACTGTTATCCTGGCAATTTTCAAATGGTGCCTTATTTTCGTGTTCATAAACATGGATAATACAATAAGTTAAATACTGAATTCCTACCATAGTATATTTTAAACATGAATTTTTGAGGATAGCAATTCTTTTGTTACAGGAAAATCCTTCCTGACCCGAACAAGATAGAATATAAATGTCATCCTAAAATAAAGAGATGGCTAGGTCTTTCATAGTATAGTTGCTAATAATCAGGTTGAATAATCCATAATAGTAGGACTTAGAATATACAGTATAAAGATTTTATCAAAGATCATATTGATTATACATAATGCTTGTAAGTGGGAAAATGAACATAAAGTGCTTAGCACATAATGAATGTCAGCTATTACTTTGATTGTATACCAGAGAAAAAGATGAATATATACCAAAAAAAGGTGTTTATGATTAGCTAAGAACCCTGTTATGGATCCATTTTACAAATATTTCTAAGTATATACTGCGTTTGCTGACTTTTGCTGACCGTAGGCAAAATGTGATTCTCATCTATAAAATAATGAGTGGAATTAATACTGTTTTGAGGTCTGTGTATGTATGTGTGTTTCAGCTTCTATAAAAATTTTTTTAGGGGCACCTGGGTGACTTAGTGGGTTAAGCGTCTGCCTTTGGCTAGGGTCATTATCCCAGGGTGCTGGGATCGAGCCCCATGTCAGGCTTCCTTCAGCGGAGAGCCTGCTTCTCCCTCTCCCTCGCCCTCTGCCTGCCACCCTGCCTATCTGTGCTCTCTCTCTATGTCTCTGTCAAAGAAATAAATAAAATCTGTAAAAAAAATTTTTTAGTAAAATTTTTGCAAATATAATTTTAAAGCAACTTAATACCTAAGCAAATAAAAACAGAGCTCTTTAGATGAAAGGGGAAAAGGAATGTCATTACTCTGAGACACCTTCATAGAATCCATGAAAAATGAAGCACAGTTAACTAACCACTTAACTAGAAGATCCATAATGTTTCATTCCACTTTAAAAACTGTAATTCTTTAATACTGCTTTGAGTTGGAATTTACTGTCTCGTAATGAATTTTAATTGTATAACTTTTATGTGTTTTGAAGTTATGGAAATGTAAGAGAATTCAGAATATATGAGTGATTGTTGAGAACTATGGTCCATATAGTATAGTGATTAAGAGTACAACCTCTCGAGTTATAGCATCTAGATTTTCCCAGTATTGCTATTTATTAGCTATATGATCCATAGCAAGATGCTTAATCTTCCCATGCTTTAGAATCTTCATTTGTAAAATGGTAACACAGATAGGCTTATCATTGGATGATAAAGAAGATTAAGTGAGATAATAAATATGAAATGCTTAATATATAATGAATTTCAATTATTATCTTGATTATAGATCCAAACAATGAACATTTAAGGAAAAAATGCATATGATTGGATAGGAACTCTGGTAAAGAGTTCAGTTTACTAATATTTCTAATTTTTCTCTGTGTCCTTCAAGTTAATTATTATATCAGTATAAAACAGGCTGAAGTAAAGTTTATAATTTTCATGTTAATACCATAAAAAGTTTGACTATTTCTATTGTAATTTTTCGCATTTTATCTGATTTTTGTGATGACGTGTTGATGACTTTTTATTAGTCAGTGCAGTGAAGAGCATAGTAGTTCCTGTAGTCATTATATACTGGGGGGGTAAAAAACAGTAAAATATGGTGACCCAAACTGATTCATTTTAATGTTTTTACATACAAAAATTATTATATTCACTTGCTTCTTAAAAAGTGCCATATTCTTATTTATAATTCAATAAGAGAATTTATTGTGTTGGTGGAAAAAAAGCTTTAACTATAATATATATTGTTAGGCAGCTAAAATTTTAGAATTTCTGTTGTGTCTTTTTGATTTCTTGCTTTGTTTTAACTTAAACTTTGGATGGAACATGAATTTTAGAAAAGTGCCTTCTTTAGCAAAACTCATTTCACAGCTGACTAGCAAGCCTTTAAAGGAGCAAAGGTTTATTCCATTTTAATTAAGCCTGCAAAACTTTCAGGCTCCTGAGGTTTATAACTAAGCTCTCATATTTGCCAAATTGGGCAAGAAACTTGAGAACAAATTTTATGATATATTATAGCTTCAATTTTAGTTCAGCAGGAAACCAACTTTCCTTAAAGTGTGCCAACATTTTTTTTTTTTCCTTTTGACCCTACTCAGGAAGTGGTGTAAATGAGCATTTATATTAAAATTATGAAAAGCAGGAAATTTGTCTTAAATCAACAGGTTGATTTGAGTGTCTGCTAAATATGGGATGAAAATTATGTATTAATCAAAATTATTACACTCATTGCAAAAAAATTAAAAGTGGGAAATATCTTTTGGGAATTAATAAGAAAGAATCCAAACTTTTTTCAATTTCAGATGTTTTTGTAGCATCATTGTTTATATGTATTTTCATTTATTTCAGAGAGACATTCAGATTTATAATTTTGAGGGACTCTATAAAGAAAGGGAATATAAAATCCAAATAAAATATTAGGTAATGGATCTTTGAAAGGAATAAGGTGAATGTCATAGTCTTCTTGCTCCATATGTAGGTTAGAAATGACTCTTTAAGATACATAGAATAAAATTGTTGAATTAAAATAGAAAATAATCCATCATTTAATATTTATGCTAATAAATACAAAAATACTATATAAGTAAAGTTTTATTTTGCCTTTAATTTTGGATGGATATTTTATCAAGGTCTAGACTTTTAGATTTCCAGTTTTCCCTCAGCATATTAATCAAAGCTTTCCATTGTCTTCTGGATTCCATAGTTTATGTTAAATACTCAGCTATAAGTTTTACTGTTTTTCCTTTGAAGATGAGGTGTCCTTTTTCTCTTCCTGGTTATTTTTAAGATTTTCTTATCTTTTATTTTCAACAGTTTGGCTGCTCATGTCATTTTATTTTACTTTTTCCAGTGTGGGTTGGTTGAGTCAGTGAATTAGTATATTGAATCAGTTTTGGAATAATCTCAGCTGTTTGAAAATACTGCTTTTGCCCCATTCTCTCTCTCCTCAACTACAGTTATATTGAGCTGTTTGATTCCCATGTTTCTTTTGCTCTGTTCTTTTCACGTATGTGTTTTTCCTGTTTCCTTCAGTTTGGATATTTTTTGCTGATCACTTCAAGTTCACAAGTCCTGTTTTTCTGTGTTGAGTCAGCTATAAAACTCATCCACTGATTTCCTAATTTCAGATACTGTGTTTCTCAATTCTAAAATTACTGTTTAATTCTTTTTTATAGATTTTAATTCTTTGCTGAAATTTTCCTTCTTTCATCCACTGTGAACATTTTTCTGTATCTTCAACTTAAATAAATTTTTTTGAAAGTTTAAGTTTTCTTAAAGTCCTTGTCCTCTGATTCTGTATCATCTGTGGGTCAGTATCTATCTACCTATCTAGCTATCTATCTAGCTAGCTAGCTATCTAGCTATCTATCTATCTATCTAGCTAGCTAGCTAGCTAGCTAGCTAGCTAGCTATCTGTGTATGTGTGTGTACATAATATACATATATATAAAATATATAATTTTTTCTCTTGATTATTGGTCACATTTTGGGTCCTTTTGCATACTTTGTAATTTTTGTTATATACCAATATTGTTTATTATAGGATCAAAGAAATTGATATAAATGTTATTAAGTGTTAAGTGCCAATCACTTTAACTCAGCTTCAAACTGAGCTGGGTAGAGTGAAAACTTCAGATATACTTAGTCTACCTCTGGTCTTAAATGTCTTTATGGGTAAAACTTGTGTTGCAGATATTCTGATGTGACTTTGTTCTTATGTGTTGTGGAATTGTGAGAAGTTTTACTATATCTCTTGAGTTCTGCCCCCTTTTACTAACCCCTCCTGCCCCCCTTGCTTTTGGTTGAGAGCAAATGTTTTTCTTAGGGGAGATCTGCTGAAATTCTACACTGAAAGTGGTAGGCTCCACTTACTGTAGTGTGACTTTGACTCCTAATGACCATAGCACTATAGAAAACATTATTTGCCCTCTGGCCCATTTTTTCCTCCTCATTCCAAATCCTCTTGTGCTGTCCAACCCTCAGCAAATCTTCCAGCAGAAAATGGTTTTCATAGGATTTCTTAGGGTTCCATAGGATTTCATTCTGTCATGCCAGCCTGTGAACCATCAAGAACTATGCTGGTTTTTCTTTTCTCTGGTAGTGTCCCTCTTTCTGGCTCTTAGCTCGTAAGTGGCAAATTCTTCTGGAAATGAAAACAATAGGAGGCTTAGCTTTTCTCCTAGTTTATTCTTATTAGCTCACATTGCTGTCTTATATCTTTAAAAATATGATTTGAGGGGACAGCTAATCTTTTTTTTTCTAGTTGTTGAAGCAGTGACTTGCCACTATGTGCTGGTAACATAGTCTTATAAAAGTAAGAACAAAATTTAAACCCATGTGTTTAGTCTTTTATATGTTGGATTTATATAAAGTTTGTATGTTTAGATTATTGGCTTGTTATTGAATATTAATATTTGTTGCTAAATCTATTAGGCCCAGAAATTGATTACCGTTGATCTTTGAAAAAATCCTATCCATAGAGCCAGCCAATTAAAAATTCCATTTTGTCAGTAGTAATTGAAATAAAATGTAAGCAAAAATTAATTTTCTTTTTCTCTCTCCCTTTCCTGTTTAGTGAGTGATAGTTGCTTCAGGAATCTTGCAGAAGATCGCAGTGGGATAAATCTCAAAGATCTCGTACAAGATCCTTCTTTGTGAGTATTTGGTTTTCAGTACTAAGCATAATTTAAAATTTTATAGTTAGTGTGACTTTATCAAAAGAGTTGTAAATGAGAACTAATTTAATGTTGAGTAAGTTTTTCTTTTCTAACAATTTGTGTTGCATATAGTGAAGGACATCCAACAGTTTCAATAGAAGTGAAGGTATAGAATAGTTTCTTTTTAGAAATATAAGAGATATTAGAAGAAGAGATAGCATTGTGATTAATGATCAACTTTCAAAGAGTCTTTACTAATGGTTGATGATATCTTGCCAGTGTGGCAGTAGATACTGGGTAGGGAAGATGATGAGTAATTCATTTGCTGGGAAAGGTGCAATTAAATTTGCTCGCATCAATTTTAAACTTTTTTTTTGGATAATTTGTAATACTTATAAGTACAATTATAAATATAAAGTATTTATAATATACTTGAATATTTAGAATATATTTAATATTTTACGTTAGAAAGCCATTGAAGGAAAAATTTTTGAAGAGTTTTATAGGTTTCAATTTTTAATGTTCTTACTGATGTCACTTTCTATTTTCATTTTATGAATTAATTTTTTACAATTTTATATTTACTGTAAATTATGCATCCTATCTTCTATATGAACATACCTCCTGGTAGGATCACCTTTATTAAAAAAAAAAAAAAATCAAGACTAGTTAAGCCTTATGCAGCAGAGAAAAGAAAATGGAGTGCTGGCAGGTGCTTTCTTTAATGATGTATGTAATGCGTTCAGTAAAACAGAACAGGAAATCAGTCTTTCTTTTTTTTAAATTTTTTTTTTTTAAGATTTTATTTATTTGCGAGAGAGAGAATGAGAGACAGAGAGCATGAGAGGGAGGAGGGTCAGAGGGAGAAGCAGACTCCCCGCTGAGCAGGGAGCCTGATGTGGGACTCGATCCCGGGACTCCAGGATCATGACCTGAGCCGAAGGCAGTCGCTTAACCAACTGAGCCACCCAGGCGCCCAGAGATCAGTCTTTCATATCATATATAATGTACACTCCCACAAGTTTTACTAGTAATTGAGTGTTTTGTGAGGAATAAAGCACAAGCATGTGTCAAATCTGGAGGATATTGATTCTTTAATGATTTCCCAGTCATTTGAAAAATATATAGTCACAAGATACAGAATCTTGAAAATGACTGAATCTTAAAGTTTATAATGTAATGAATTTAGAAATGAGCTTCTAAACTCAATTCTCAATTTTTTTTTATTAATCTGTTTCTCTTTTTCTCACTCAAAAGGAATGTCAGTATTCTTTCTCCATGATCTTTATGCTACTGAAAATTGACAGTTGTCCTTTCAGTCCTATAAATATTTAATCAAGAATATAACTATTCTTTATTTTGATGTAAATATTCCCAGTAAATTAATGTCAAATAACATTTATTTGCATGAAGAATTCTGTTTTCCTTATAGATATAGGAGGAAACTTTATAATTGTTTTTGAAAGATTTCATCCATCTGAATGAATAACAAATTATTCCATTGTATTATTTGAAGGTATATTTTTGATCACAATAGTATTATTTATCTGTATTGCGTAGTCTTTGTGGAAAGAATGTGCTCATCTAGACATTAATGATATAAAAGCTATGGAGAATTATACTTAAATAATTGATGATAACAATGAGTTATAGTGTTTTCAGAGAATTTGGTACTTCTTCCAAGAATGTAGAATAATCATCGTGCAACCTTGTACTAAATTTTAAATTTAATCTTAGTATTCTAAGAGAAATTTATCTGAGATCACTACAGCATGGGTTGGAGAAAATAATTCTCTCTCTGTTTTGAAATAGCAGATATCTTACCTTAGCATCATTCTTTTAACTTGGCATTAGTTTCTTGACATTAGTCTTGAATGTAAGAATTTAGTGAGAATTCATTTTGCCTTTGCCACTTGGAAAGAACTTTTTTTTTATTAATAGTCAAAATGTACTATTAATGACTTTAATTCATATTTTAGCAATATATTTCTTCCTTAGCAAAATTCTTAAAGGAAGGAAATGCCTAGTGTAGAAATTAATGTATTTTTTTCAGTTGTTATGATGGGAAATATTTTATTCTGAGTTATTATTCTATAACAATATTCACTTAGTACATACCTCATGGGTACAGATTTTTTTCTTAAAGACACTTACCTCTCTTCTGTCCCAAACTCCTGACAAAAATCTTTACTATTTGTTCATTGATTCATGTATACTACATGGTTCTATATGGCGTTGAATTGTTTATGTTGCAACATTGAGTTGAAAATATGTCAGAAATAATGTCTTTACAGTAAAAAAATCTCCTGCTTAAAAAAATCACTGGCATTTGGTAAATACTCCAGATTCCTGAGCTGCTAATGCTGAAAGGAATTGATGTGTAAAGAAAAACTAAGTATTACAATCACTAAGGCTATTCAAAAGGAAGAGGATAAAGAGGGAAGGAAAAAAGAAGTGAAGAGAACCCAGGCTATCTGGTCAATATTGACACTTGGAGCAGTTTATAGTATGTCATAGTTGGATAAATGAGCATGTATGGAATTTCTGTGGGCAAAGTAGAAAAATAAAACCAAATCAAATGTGGTATGTGTGTCTGTATGAGTGTGTGTCTATAAATGAATGAATGAAGTTTTAAGGGTTTATTGCCTCAGAGGAGAATGAAAAAGCAGAACAAAAAGTGATACTTTTAAATCTGTGTCGAGCTAATGGAGTAATGTGATAGGCCTTCTGTCATTTATCTAGTCTGTGTAAACTATACTCGCCAAGATTTTGCTTCCATTGTATGGTAAAACTAATTGGGCTTGAATGAACTGAGTGATCTATGTTATAAGAACATGATGGACGGATGCCATGAGAGAAAAAGATGAGAAAGTTGTGAATCCCTAAGAAAGACGTTCTGGCCTTACTGCTTTTGAGCTGTTTCAATAATGAGAGCAGAATGTGACTTGTGGGAAGATTGAGGTAAAGGGGATACTTGAGAAGCTCTCTTCTTTGGTAGTTATTCTGGGAATAATTTTTTCTATCACAATCCTGCAGGTGTTAAGTGTAAGACCAAATAGAGGATCTTGACCTTCATTTCTTGCTGATGAATGTGTCTGAGGATTTGTTTGAATTAGTAATTTGCATGCATATTAAATTTCAAAATGAACAATTTTATCTGTTTTAAAAGCTCATCTTATGTTTATGATTTTAAGTATTTTAAGATTGATTTCCTCTGCTATATGTATAATTTGTTCTGTTGTGTTGTAAGACCTCTTGTTTTACTGTGGTTTCTCAATGGCACATTGAAAAGCATTGTCAAATTTAACTTGATGTTTCACCGTATTAGAAACACATCCAATGTGATAGATACTTTTCATACATAAAGGAAGTTATTCTTAGCATGATATAATTAATTTTTTTCTCTTTAAGTTGAGGGATGCATGATATTTAAGTTATAAAAAATCATTTATGCTGCTTCTTGTTATTTATGCTAAAGAGATGACTTATTACATGCAAATTATATACTGTATATAATGTTAAGTTATATTTAGTTGTGTTCTTTATAGAGGTAATTCTCAAAAATACTTTTAAATCCCCATTGATTGTGTGCTGAAGATGAAAGATAAAACATATTACCATATTTATACTTTAGATTTCCTGTTGCTTACTTATACACTATTTAACATAAATAATTATTTGAACTCAGAAACATTTATAGAAATTATTGAAGCTGTTTAAGAATCAAAAGAGGAAAAATAAGAATGAAAAGGGCTAACATAATTGAACACCTGTTTGTACTATTCATTGTGTTGATGCCGATGATGTGTGTGGTATAGGTGGGTATGTCTTGTTTAATTTGCAGAAGCCCTTAAAGTTTAGGACCATCCTAGATATGTGTTACGTAAGTGAGTTATAGGAAGAGTAGTTTAATTCATAGCAGAATTGGATATCTCTTGACACTAGAAATATAATTTATAATGCAGGGTACTAGTAATTTTCTTTATAGTCAAACAGGGAAAATTTATATTCTTTGAGAATTTTGTACAGCATGACAAATATGTCAGTCTTCTTTTTTTTCCCTTTATGGTACTCAGCATTTTTTCAACTGTTTCAGTGATATATAGATTTTGAAAAGATACTACCAATTTATAACCTCTTGTGATTTGTAAAAAAGTATGATTCAATGAAATAGATCTTAATTCTGAATCCTGAATAAATTATGTTATGGATCAAGAAATACTTTTTTCTTATCAGTATTCTTGGTATTTCTTTTAATTGTCATAAAATAAAAATAACATAAAATTTACCATCTCAACCAGTTTTAAGTGTACAGTTCAGTAATGTTAAGTATATATGCACTATTATGCAATCAGTACCTAGAAATTTTTCATCTTAATGGAACTGCAATGCTATACTTGTTAAACAATAACTCCCCATCCCTCCTCCAGCCTTTGGCAACTACTATTGTACTTTCTGTTTCTATGATTTTGACTTTTGTAGAAATCTCATGTAAATAGAATCATGCAGTATTTGTCTTTTTGTGACTGGTTTATTTCACTTAGCATAATAGTCCCAAGGGAATTCTCCCATGTTGTAGCATGTGTAAGAATTTCCTTTTTAAAGCTCAATTATATTCCATTATTTCATTATATGTTCCATTAATCGATATATTTACACAATATTTTGTTTATTCATCCATCAGTGGACACAGGATTGCTTCTAACCTTTGTCTATTGTGAATAATACTGCTATGAACATGGATGTGCAAATACCTCTTTGAGACCCTGCTTTCAATTCTTTTGGTTGTATACACAGGAGCAGAATTGCTGTATCATATGGTAAATCAGCTTTAATTTTTGAAGAAATGCCATACTTTTTTTTCCATAGTGACTGCACCATTTTATATTCCCAGCAACAGTGCAAAAGGGTTCCAATTTCTTGACTTCCTCACCAACACTCATTATTTTCTGTTTGTTTGTGGTTTTTGTTGTTGTTGATATGCCATTCTAATGGGT